AGAGAAATAAATACCGAATTCCCTCTCCCCATCCTGTAGCTTCCCTTCTTAAGGCCCGTTCCTTGAGTCAAAAAAATAAACCTGGCTGTGAGCAACAGGGGGGGGGGGGGAAAGGGTCAAAATGTCAATTTTAGCCCGAGATACCCTGACCCAGAATTTATTCTGAGTGGGGGGAACAACCAGGACACTGGAGAGCGGTTGTGTGATTTCAACTCCAAAGCCTTTCTGGTTGGCCCCCCCTCCCCTAAAGGACACGAGGATGGGGAGGGGATGGAGGGGGATGGGACACTGGGGAGATGGAGGGGAGGGGAGGCTGGAATGGAGGTGGGGGGAGTTGCCCTGCCCTCGCCCCCTCCTTTCCTCCTCCCCTCCCTCCCTGCTTTCCTTCCTTCTCCCTGGTTGGGAATTGGCAGAGAGTCCCTAAGTCCCAGCGCTGGGGCCCCCATTGTTCAGGAGCTGTCCTCGGTGCTGAAACACAGCTGGCCAGATCACAATTAGAAGGGAGGAGGAGGAGGAGGAGGAGGGGGAAGGGCCAACTATGGCCTTAAGGAAGGCCTCAAGAGTGTGTCCACCCATCTCCAGGCCTTTCCCCTTGAACCCCGACAGCAGGGCAAAGATGGGGAGATGCATCTCTGAGCATGCACAGAGGTCTCACCAGGCCTGCGGGGGGGGGGGGAGAGAGAAAAAGGAAGGCCAGGGACCCAAACTCTTTCTTCTCTTCCCCCTCCCCTCAAGGCAGGAACCCCCCCCCCACTTCGCAAGCGAGGAAATCTCAACCTTGACTATCTAGATCTATCCTCCCCCACTCTCTGTCTACCAACTCTCTTTCTCTATCCATCTCTCTCCTCTCTCCATTTTCTATCTCTCTATTCTTTCTCTCTATCCCCATCCATCTCTTCTTTTCTCTATCATCCATCCATCATCTATTTATCTATCTATTCCACCCTCTCTATCTATCCTCTCTCTTTCTATTCAATGCCCCCTCATCTCTCTCCCTCTATTCTTTCTCTCTATCCC